TTTAAAAGGCAAATGATAGGCTTTCTCCCAAACCCACTGAGTCTGGAACTGGGTAGACAGGGCCCAGCTCTGTGTTTTAGCCAGTCTCCCAGGTGATTGTGATGGTCACTAAAGCTTGAGAACCACAGGGAAAGGTGACATTGCAGAATCCACCCATGTGGATGGACTCCCCTAAGTGCCTGCCTTCAAGTTCTCTTGCTTTCCTTTCCAACCCTCTGCACTCTCCATAGAGTCCTGACTCCATTTGTAGCCGTACTGGAGCCCTGGATCAATCTTTGTATTCTTCAGTGACGAGCACCTATTTCTCTCTTACTGATAATGATCACTTTTTGTTTTGAGGATGTAATGCCTTCTTGTGTAAAATGGTTCAATTTCCAAGAGCAATAAAAAATGAGAGAATTGAGATCCCCTTTCTGCCACAGGTACTATAAGTGGGATGGCCATATTGGGACAATTGGGACAATCTGGTTTATGGTCCTTGTTCCAGCATAATAATACCATGCCCTCCTATTCTTTTAAGTGCTTTGGTTTAGATGGTAAATTAAAATCATAAGTTTTTGAAAAGTGAATCATAAGTTTTTGACCACTATTGAAAAGTGGTCAAAGAAGGATTCACCAAGAAGGACACGTTTTGGGCATAAAAATGAAAGATGTCCACTTACAATAGATAGGCAAACAGGATTAGAGATGTAGGTGGAGCGAAATCTTAGAGGCTGAGAGTTCAGGATAAATAAGGCTGTATAGCTGCAGGTTACACTCAGCAAAGCTTAAGTAATTCACAGCCTATTTCTGGTGGGAGCAATCCTATATAATAAAGAGGTAATATGCAAATTGACCATCACACCCTCAAACAAGATGTCCGCCCCCATGTGGACACAAGATGGTCACCACAAGATGTCCGGCAGGGGAGGGCAGTTGTGGGCGATCAGGCCAGCAGGGGAGGGCAGTTGGGAGGGACCAGGCCAGCAGGGGAGGGCAGTTGTGGGCAGTTGTGGGCGATCAGGCCTGCAGTTGTGGGCGATCAGGCCTGCAGGGGAGGGCAGTTGGGGGGGACCAGGCCTGCAGGGGAGGGCAGTTGCGGGGGACCAGGCCGGCAAGGGAGGGAAGTTAGGGGTGACCAGGCCTGCAGGGGAGTGCAGTTGGAGGCGACCAGGCCTGCTGGGGAGGACAGTTAGGGGCAATTGGGCCGGCAGGGGAGCAGTTAGAAGTCAATCAGGCTGGCAGGGGAGTGGTTAGGGGGTGATCAGGCTGGCAGGCAGAAGTGGGTAGGGGCAATCGGGTGGACAGGCAGGTGAGCAGTTGGGAGCCAGCAGTCCTGGATTATGAGAGGGATGTCTGACTGCCCGTTTAGGCCCGATCCACTGGGATCGGGCAGTCGGACATCCCTCGAGGGATCCCAGATTGGAGAGGGTGCAGGCTGGGCTGAGGGACACACACCCTCCCCATGCACAAATTTCGTGCACCAGACCTCTAGTCTATAATAATAAAAGCGTAATATGCTAATTAGACCAGACATCCTTTCAGATGAAGCCAGAGCTGCAAGGGAAGCCCAGGTCCCGGGTGCCTGCTGGCGGCCACAGGTAAGCCCGGGTCCTGGGTGCCAGAGGGAAGCTGGTGCCGGCAGCCAGAGAAGGAAGGCTTACTCTTGCATGAATTTCATGCATTGGGCCTCTAGTAATAAATGAAGTTGGTTGAGGAAGAGTGATTTGAGATAAAGTCTTCTGGAAGGAGTAGGGCAAATTGTGTTTCTTATTATTCCCCTAATAACATAGCAATTTAGGTATTTGGATAGTTATTATTAAGAAGGAACTTGGTATATATTTGTTTACCGATTTATGTTCGTTCTATGGATTTGAAATGCTTATTGCTCTGTCATCAGTTCTGCGCTATATTTAAAAAACAAATCAAAACAATCATTATAAACATAGAAGAATAAGAATTTACTTTCTACTTCAGCTCATGTTTTCAAACTCAGTTGCAAAACAGATACCAAATGATTTACACTTCATAGTACTTTATGCCTTTATCATAATAATATCAATGCTGGACTATTGAGATTTATAGCCTGTCAAGAACAGAATGGGGGGAATTATGCAAATACCTAACTGATATGTTGTGATATTGTTTTTCTGAATGTTAATATGATGAATGCATTCTACTGTTGTAAAATTACTATATGAGAATTATTTCTGTCACCATTTACAATAAAAAAGTATGTGTTTTCACGTTGTTTTGAAAATTTGCAAACTGTTTACAGAAAGCATGTTCAATGGCAAATCTAACTTAAAGCATAAGTAAAAATTATGATAAAATTGTATATTTGATTTTACACAATTAGTTAATGTTCCTCTTTTGTTGGTGATTTTGAATCGTTACAGATGTGTTTAACATTAACATAGCTTGAAAAAAGCTTTGCCCTGGTCCCTGCTGGTGTCACTCAGTGTGGGTTGGGTGTCATCCATGCACTGAAAGGTTGCAGGTTGGATTCTAGTCAGGGCACATGCCTGGGATGTTGGCTCTGTCCCCAGTGGGGCATGTGCAGGAGATAGTCAGTCCACGTTTAGATGTTTGTCTCTCTCTCTCCCTTTCTCTATCTCTAAAAATATCTTTTTAAAAAAAAGAAGAGCTTTGCTCTGGGGCATGGCATTGCATTTAAACTCACCTCTTATGCCACTATCATTATTATAGCGCAGAGACATCTTGTCACTGACCCTTTCTATGTGGACAGTATAGATATCATGTCCTTTTTTCTCTTTTTCATCTGCGCTATTATGTCTTCCTTTCCCTCTACTCTCTGGAGTGATGAATTTTAAGAAAACTTACATTATTCAGTTAATCATTTCATCTTTCTAACTATTAATAACAAAATATATTTCAGAGTTAATATCTGTCTGAAAAGAAAAAAGAACAATTAATAAATTCTGACATCATTCTTTAAGTGTCACATAATTCATAAATATATTAATACTTTTTTAGGTAAACATGTTTTGAAGACACGTAGCAATTAACATTACATTTTAATTCAAACAATCTATAATAAGCATAACTAACTAAAGAATGGGTTTATTTAGCCTCGTGTCCTTTGCTGATATATATGAGGAGACAGTAATTATTCAGTATGCTATGTATTGTCTAATTTTTGATTTACTTTTTGTAAAGCATGTACACTTTAAATTGAATGCCACATCAACATATTTGTAGAGTTAGCACATACATGAATTTTATGAGTAATGTGTTTTTCTATTTATAAATGTAACTATTTACAACCCTGTTTCCTTAATCATTATCTAACCCAACAATTATGTTTACTTTGGGAGATGAGAAAGGCACAGAATGTTAGGCGACTAAGAAAGTGATATAAAGTTTTTTGTAGAAGCAGCTGATACATCTCCAAGCGCTGATTTTAGAACTGTCAGTTTATTGAAAAATGCAGGCTTGAAATCCAAGGCTTATCTTTACTTACCATTCTTTACCAATTGAAGATTAGAAATGCTTACGGATAGGCAGTGGCTGTGGTTTATTGCTAAAAGCAGGAAATTTCTCCTGGTATATTAAGGACTGGTCTCTATGGGTTAGAAAACGATTTGTGTTATTTATTAGATGAACAGTAGCTAATGCCTCTTCCAACAGTCACCTGGGAGGATTTTACCATTTTTATTTTTTTCTGTTTTCTGTGTGTAGCTTAGGACTTAAAAATCATTTCTAAAGCTATTTTTGTATTGCTAACAGGAAACCCCAAACAAAAAGAAATAATCATTAGGTCACAACTCTGTAAGCCTGTCGGATTGTTTCTGCATATCTCTGTCATCCCTTGATTTGGTTTTCATTTTAAAAGCGGTATCAGATGAGGCTTAACATCATAACTTTAACTGTTAATAAAGCCCTAGCTCTGAAGAAGCACCTATTCTCTCTACTTGCATAGTTACACTCTTAAAATTGAGCTCAACTTTTATGTTTTTTTCTTTGCTTTTACTATGTGATTCTGGGATAGCATTATATAACAATTCTGGAAGTACAGCTTTAAAGACTTGTGTGGCTCTATCTGCAATGATTTTAACCTTGTAGAGCTGGCCTGAAAGGAATCTCAAAAATCTGAACCAGTTAATATTTCTTCCACGTTTGCCAGTGAATCTAATTAACAGTTAATCTAAGAGCTAAGCCGATCTTTCTATGTTCTTTTAATAAATTTCCTGTTACTTAAATATATCTCAGTATGCATAGCCCTTTTAGTGTATATGCATCAGAGACAGAAGCTATTTTAAAGGACCAATAATTAAAATCAACTGAACTCCTATTGGTAAATATCTTTTTTTTTTCCTACAAAGGAACTATCGTCCCAGGACCTCAAAGATTTATAGCTAATAATTAAATTTTATACTCCTTTTGTATCACATGTAATGAATTTACAGGTGAATGTTTAAACCAGTTGATTGGTGGCTTAGTGAAATATATTGCACCTGAGCTGCAGATTCAGCAACGGGACTGATACAATGCCTTAAATCTCACACACTTTTATATTAGAAAGCTTTGGTAATCATTTCACAAAGATACCAATCAAACCATCAAGCTGTGTGCCTTAAACTTACACAGTGATATGTGTCATTTATTTCTTAGTAAAACTGGAACGAAAATAATATTCTTCCCATTAGACTTTAAAAATTGTTTTCTTTTTACATTTTTACATAATATGGTATGTCTTTTATATTATTATTTGTAACGTATCTTTTATTCATTTTATTTCTTGCTTCAATAGTCTATACAGGATTTTATTTTAAGAAAAAATTGTTAATGTAGAAGATAGATGCATCGCAATGTCCTGCAATGCAAAGAAAGGCCTGTTAAATATGAGTACATATGAGCATTTATGTATACGGCGCATGTAATTCTTAGCTTTATATCACCTTAATCACTGCTTTTATACTTTTCTCTATAGCAGCTTTATTTATTTCAAAGCATTATTGTTTTCTAAGTTGGAGCTCTTCTGTTTTCCTACTTTACAGGTCAGTTTCTTCTGGAAGAAGCTCGCCTGTTAGAAGCAGCCGAGATGGCAAAAAAAGCAGCAGAACTGGACAGCACAGAGTTTGATGTGGTCTTCAATGCTGCCCACATGCTCAGGTTAGTTTTTGCTACTGTACCTTAAAAGGCCAGCACTGTGGCTTTGGGAACACTGTTAATTCTACTAATTCCCCATCATACTACCTCATTCCACATCCATAAATTGAATTATTCTGCTTATCCATGTTAAAATCAGGACTATTTTTTTTTTCATTCTAGTTTATGTGTACATTATGTAGGACATACGAGTTTTCAGGATTATCTAAATATTATTGAGACCCCGTTCCCCTTCCCTTCAAAAATATTGCTCATAAAATACAAAAAGAAAATTGCACAGTGGAAATTAATAACTGTCTAATTAATTATCTCCAAAACAAAACATATGTCTGTTAGTCAACTGCATCTCAATATTTGTGGGTTTTTTTAATTAAATGCACTGAATGTGCCATGTGGTTACATTGGATTTTGTTTGGTGTGGAGAAGATTATAAAATACAAATATACTTAAGGCCTTTCAAATTCTCAAAATGGCCCAATAATTAAAACTGTCAGGTATGTATATCTTTAGTGCTTCTATATTCAGAAAAATGATTAGGAAGGCTTCTAGAATAATAGTGAAACAATTTAAAGGCAGATCAACAATTTTTGTTGTGAATATAAAAAGCCAATGCATCCTTAAGTAGAGTTTAGGTTAAAGTAGGATGTTTTTAAGAAACTGACATAATTTATACAGTTTTTTAAAATGTTTTATTTTTTTCTATTAGAAATATGGATATGTCTTTTGCCATACTCTCACCTGAATTTCACTCTATTAAATCATCTAAATGCTTCACTAGATGACATTTACACTATTGGCTCAATGTATAACATCTAGAGATAGGTTTGTAATTATGTAGATTACTCTTACAAAGGAAGACAAATAACAGGAGAATTGGTTCACATTTGTATGGTTTTAAAACATGAACCTTCAAGAAAAAGTAGAACAACTATTTTTTACTTTTTGTTTTGAGATCATTGTAGGTGTGTATGCAGTTATAAGAAATAACACAGAAAGGTCCCCTGTACTGTGTAGAACTACCCTATAATATCAAAATCAGGACATTGACATTGATACAATCCACTGGTCTAATTATGCTCTCCCAGTTTTACTTGTGCCTTTGTGTGTGTGTGTGTGTGTGTGTGTGTGTGTGTGTGTGTGTGTGTGTGTGTGTGTGTGTTTAGTTTGATGCATTTTTATCACATGTATAGCTTTTGTAGCCATTACCACAGAAAATACAGACTGTTTTCATCATCACAAGCATTCCTTATGTTGTCCTTTTATAGCAACAGTGCATGAATTTGTGCACAGGTGGGGTCCCTTGGCCTGCCTGGTGATCAGGGCCTGCCAGTTGTCGGGGAGAGACTGTGGGAGGTTGGCCAGCCACGGGAGGTTGGCTGTGGGAGTGCACTGACCACCAAGGGGCAGCTCCTGCATTGGGCATCTGCCCCCTGGTGGTCAGTGTGCATCATAGCTACCAGCCACTCGACAGGTCTTTCAGTCTTAATGGTCACTTAGGCTTTTATATATATACAAGCAATAAACAAAAGAAGTATAGAGCGTTCTGAAATAAGAAACCTCTCAAGGTAAAAAAACTTTACAACTTTTATTTATTTTTTTAAATATATTTTACTAGAGACCCGGTGCACAAAAATTTGTGCACTGGCGGGCGGGGGGGTGGGGGGGTGTCCCTTAGCCCCACTTGTGCCCTCTCACAGTCTGGGACCCCTCGGGAGATAACGACCTGCTGGCTTAGGCCTGCTCCCGGGTGGCAGAGGGCAGGCCCAATCCATAGGTGCAGCCCCTGGTTGGGCTCAGAGCAGGGCCGTTTGGGGAGTTGGGGCGCCGCCGCCTGTCATGCACAGAGCAGGGCGTATTGGGAGGTTGCGATGTCACCCACAGTCACGCTCAGGGTAGAGCCGATTGGGGGGTTGGGGCACTGCCCCCTGTCACACTCAAGGCAGGGTTGATGGGGAGGTTGCGGCTCCACCCCGTCACACACAAAGCGGGGCCCATGGAGGGGTTGGGGTGCCGCACCCTGTCACACACACAGCAGGGCCGATCGGGGGGTTGGGGAGCTCCCCCCTATCAGGCACAGAGCAGGGCCGATTAGGGGGTTGGGGCGCCTTCCCCTATCATGAACAGAGCAGGGCGGATAGGGAGGTTGTGGCCCCGCCCCCTGTCACACACAGAGCCACAGGGCGATCAGGGGGTTTGTGCGTTGCCCCATGTCACGCTGCTTCAGGGGCCAGGAGGCCTTACTGCTCCGCTGATCCCAGTGCTGGGAGGCCTCGCCGCTCCGCTTGACACCGGGGCAGTAAGGCCTCACTGCTCCACTGATCCCGGTGCTGGGAGGCCTTGCGGCTCCACTGATCCCGGGTTCGGGAGGCCTCGCGACTCCGCTGATTCCAGGTTCGGGAGACCTCACGGCTCCGCTGATCCCGGTGCCAAGAGGCCTTGGGGCTCCGCTGATCCCAGTGCTGGGAGGTCTCGCGGCTCCGCTGATCCCGGGTTCGGGAGGCCTCATGGCTCCGCTGATCCCGGGTTCAGGAGGCCTTGCGGCTCCGCTGATCCCAGTGCTGGGAGGCATATTACCCTTTTACTATATTGGATAGAGGCCTGGTGCACGGGTGGGGGCCGGCTGATTTGCCCTAAAGGGTGTCCCGGATCAGGGTGGGGGTCCCACTTGGGTGCCTGGCCAGCCTGGATGAGGGGATGATGGCTGTTTGCAGCTGGTCGCACCCCCTTCAGGGTGGGAGTCCCCACTAGGGTGCCAGGCCAGTCTGGGTGAAGGGCTGAGGGTCATTTTCAGGCTGGCGGGTGACGGAAGCTCCCAACCACTCCTTTTCTTCTTTTTTTTGTTTATTCTGGGATTTATTTACTTTCTATAGCTGTCACTGGAGCCGACAGCCGGCTCTAGCTCTGAGGCTGCAGCTGGCTGAAAGCAGATATCTGGGTTTGTTTACCTTCTATAATTGAAACATTGATGCCATCACTGCCACTCTAAGCTCTGAGGTCGAAGCTGGCTGAAAGCAGGTTTCCGGAGCTTGTTTAGCTTCTATAATTGCAACATTGTTTCTTAGAGTGCAGCTCAGAGGCTGGGAGCGGCAGGCGGGGAACCTTGGCTTCCTCCGTCACTGGAGCAAGCAAGCCTCCTGTTCGCTTCAGCTGCCTGGCTGCCGGCCGCCATCTTGGTTGGCAGTTAATTTGCATATCACCCTGATTAGCCAATGGGAAGGGTAGCGATGTTACAGTTAATTACCATGTTTCTCTATTATTAGATAGGACTAGAGGCCCGGTGCACAAAAATTTGTGCGCTCAAGGAAGAGGGGGTTCCCTCAGCCCGGCCTGTGCCCTCTCGCAGTCTGGGACCCCTCGGGAGATAATGACCTGCTGGCTTAGGCCTGCTCCCGGGTGGCAGAGGGCAGGCCCAATCACTAGGTGCAGCCCCTGGTCGGGCTCAGAGCAGGGCCGATTGGGGAGTTAGGGCACCGCCCCCTGTCATGCACAGAGCAGGGCAGATCGGGAGGTTGCGATGCCACCCTCAGTCACGCTCATGGTAGGGCCGATTGGGGGGTTGGGGCACCGCCCACTGTCACACTCAAGGCAGGGTCGATGGGGAGGTTGTGGCACCGCCCCCTGTCATGCACAGAGCAGGGCGGATCAGGGGGTTGGGGTGCCGCACCCTGTCACACACAGAGCATGGCCGATCAGGGGTTGGGCCACCGCACCCTGTCACACAGAGAGCCGCAGGGCGATCAGGGGGTTTGGGCGCTGCCACCTGTCACGCTGATCCTGGTGCCAGGAGGCCTCCCGGCTCCGCTGATCCCGGTGCTGGGAGGTATATTACCCTTTTACTATATAGGATAGAGGCCTGGTGCACGGGTGGGGGCCGGCCGGTTTGCTCTGAAGGGTGATCTGGATCAGGGTGGGGGTCCCGCTTGGGTGTCTGGCCAACCTTGGTGAGGGGCTGATGGCTGTTTGCAGCTGGTCACACCCCCTTCAGGGTTGGGGTCCCCACTGGGGTGCCTGGACAGTCTGGGCGAGGGGCTCAGGGCCGTTTTCAGGCTGGCGGGTGACTGAAGCTCCCAGCCTCTCCTTCTTTTCTGTTTTTTATTTATTTATTTATTTATTTATTTATTTACTTATTTACTTATTTATTTATTTATTTATTTATTTATGTATTTTTATTCTGGGATTTATTTACCTTCTATAGCTGTCCCTGGAGCTGAGAGTCGGCTCCAGCTCTGAGGCCCAGCTCCAGCTCTGAGGCTGCAGCTAATTGAACCATTTTTGCCATCATTGGCCATGCTCTACGCTCTGAGGCCGAAGCTGGCTGAAAGCAGGTTTCTGGAGCTTGTTTAGCTTCTATAATTGCAACATTGTTTCTTAGACTACAGCTCAGAGGCCGGGAGCGGCAGGCGGGGAACCTTGTCTTCCTCCATCACTGGAGCAAGCAAGCCTCCTGTTCGCTTCAGCTGCCTGGCTGCCGGTCGCCATCTTGGTTAGCAGTTAATTTGCATATCTCGCCGATTAGCCAATGGGAAGGGTAGCGAAGTTACGGTTAATTACCATGTTTCTCTATTATTAGATAGGATAGGTATTTCTACCTGTCCCCCAGGAACCAGTATTTAAAGCAAGTTTTATAGATTAGTTTGGAGTTATGATTTGAGATTGTTATGATAACTGTAACTCAATGGCTTCCTACTTGGATTTTTTTGTTTTAAATAAGAAATTCAAAGTCTCTTTAAAAGGAAAGAGTGTACTAGGAGTTTTCTTTTGAATGCCCTTACTCTACATCAATATTTAACATTCCTAAAGCTGATATCTCCAAAGAGATATCAGGATTCCATTGACTATTGCTATATTTATAAAATAAATTGTTGCTAATTTGCAAGAACCTTCAATGGAAAAATAATTTGTAAAAGACACCTTAATTTGCATGACAAGGTTAGGTACTGCATGAGGGGGACCTTTTTGTTCTTCATGAATAAAGTACTATGCTTTTAGTCACAAAAAAAATT